CTCGAGTTTATGCTTAACGTACTAACTGGAATAATTTGATGTGATGTCGATACGAGTAGTGTTCGATATAATAATGCGTAATTGAATGGCCAATATAAGTGATAAATGATAAAATGCGCTGTATTTCGAAATATTAAATAAAAATGATCTATCAGAGTAAAGTTAACTAGAAGAAGGTTGGGGTTAATCATATTTCAGATGTTTCACAATAGGTATACAAGATGAGAATTTTAGTTATGTTGGTAGGAGTTAAATGAGCGAATACTAACATAGTCATTAAGATATTACCTTTGTATGATTTCTTCAAGAGCTGCATTGGGATCGCATTCATCTGTGTCTTCGTATTCAAGTGCATCCACAGCCATTTTCTTAGCGAGATCGTAGCTCTCCGGATGGACGCGCGTTGAATCGAGTAATTCTAATCGGGAGCCAGCAGCAGCTACCTCAGCAGCCCTCTTCGATTGACCTCTTTGTTGGCGCTTAGTTTGACGTCGTTTTTGCTTCTCACGTCTACGCGCACCACGCTCTTCATCTGTCCCAGAGTCATCAGCGTCGCTGTGTTCCCCACCATTATCATCATTGTTTCCGATGTCTGAATCTCCGCTGTCCAATGGACTATCTCCTTCATACATATCAGGCATTCCGCGATGCCGGACAGCAGAAGCATTAGCTTCATCAGCAGCAATATCACGAGCAACACTACCCGTATCAATCTTGATGAACCCAGCGCAGTTTATAACGATATGAGGGCCCAAGTCAATAACGGTTACAAGATGTACTCGATTAGTAAGCTGAGTCTTTTTGTGTTTCAAGACCTGAAACCAGAAAACATGAGAGCAAATTCAACACAGTTACATATACAGTGTGCACGTGGAACAATGAGTGGTTCTGCCTACTAAGAAAATGGTTATGAAAGTGAAGTCAAACGGGTGATAAACATTTTAGCGTGGTGTCAAAAGCGCTGATAGTGGAAATGATAGTGGTGAAGCGAAGATTTTATCATATCATTGAATGTTGTTGTAGCATACTAGTAAAGTAAGCGTTAGCCTCCAGGGTGAGAACTGTTTAGACTTTCACAGGGTCTCATTTCGGAGAAGCGCAACCAAGAGGCAAACACGATAACCTAAGAAAACTAAAGAAGTTGTTTGACTTTGTTTTCACAACTTGTTCATATTGGTAGGAATACTTAAAGGAACGCACATAGTCCGGAGTCCATTGTATGCATGATCATTTCCAAAGTCGGACCATGGACGTGGTAAATTCCAAGACGTTTCGCTGGCATCGTCAGTGAGTCTTGCCAGTCCTAGCACCACACAACAATTCGTCAAAAAGACAAGTGAAACCGATCCTTTGACCTAACGTGTGCTAAACAGTTTTGGTATCTCTCCTGATCTGGACTATTAAGATTTCCTATATCATCCAATCACACCTTCATTGCTACAATTTTTACTGTGCTTATTTAGATTTAATGTGATGTGCTTCTTTGAGCGGTATTCATGATAACCCTC